CGGGGCGGGGACCTGGGGACCCGCCGGGGCTCGGCACACTTCTCCAGCCTCGAGTCCGAGGTATGACGCGGCCCCGGGGGGTCCCACCGCCCCCTCGGTCAGCGCAGGCCACGGTCCGAGGGAGCACGCAAACTGGACAGGACCCGCGTGGGGTGGGAAGGAAAAACGCGGAACTGGCCGGAACCCGCCTGGAGCAGCGTCCTGCGCCTCCTCGCTTTCGGGGCACTGCGAGCCGGAGGGAATTTGGCCCCCCGAATCTCACCCTGCCTGAGAGCGAGGCGGCGGGGGGTCTCGGAGCCCGCTGGACTTTTTTTTTAAACCCGACAAGGGCTTTTTAACGTCACCAGATGGGGCGGGAGGTGGGGCCGGGGTGTCACGCCACGCCCCACCCCTACGCCCGGGGCCGTGGCCCCCACATCACTGTGCAGCTCCCCGGCCCCAGCCACGCCTCCGGGGAAGCCCGTTTTTAACCTTTCATCCATCGGGACTCAAAACTGTGAGACACGTTCGCCAAACTGTGACCCTAGACCTCGGCCCCGCCATACAGAAACCCCTGACCCCAGACTGTGACATCCGACCCCTACTAATGGTCATCCGACCCCAGACTGTGACCCCTGACCCCAAACTGTGACCCGAACCCCAGACTGCGCCCCGACCAGACTGTGACCCTTGACGTCAAACCGGGACACCCCCTTCCTCCTCTTCCACCCTCGGTTGCTTTTCCCTATTTTGACCTAGGACACGCCCCCCAACGGAAGTCCCGCCTGTCCCACCCCAGCGATGATCCCAATCTCCAGGGGCCCAAACTTCCCACCCTGTTGCACTTCACTACCACCAGCCCCAGGTGCCACCAAACACATCCTCTCCCAACTCTCCCAATCCAGCCCTTATTTATGACCCTTCAGCGATGACCCAGCAGACCCCCGCAAAGCCTCCTCTTCCCAGATCTCCAGCCGGGTCTGGAGCTGGGTCGCGGAGGGGAGGGTCTGAGAATCCACACTCACCACCCAACTCCCTTCCCACTTTCCCGTTCCACATTGCAGTGTTTGGAATAAACCATGTTTTTATGCCTCGTCAGTCCAAGTGTGAGCTCCGTGTCTGTCTCATCCCCTCAAACTTCTCCGGAGGAAACCGAAACAGAAAAGTCCAGAGAAACAGGGGGCAGCGAGGGGACTAGAGCGAGAGAACAGATACCCTGGAGGGAGGTGGGAGACAGAGACCCAGAAAGAGGCGGTGAGAAAGGACCCTAAAGAAGAGAAGGGCTGAGAAGGGTCCGGGGCGGACAGAGACCTAGAGATATGGGGGACAGAGAACTCAGGAAAAATCCAGCATCGAAAGCTTTTAGGATTCAAGTCTAGGGTCCCATTCCTATGGCTACAGGCAACGAGGTTTGCGAGATGTTTAATATCCTGTTCGTGCAAGCGAGGACAGTGTCTAATGTATTCCAGCCAGTCCACATATTTCAAACATCGTTAATCTCACCAAGCAGAATTTATTTCTAACATTTCATTATGCCAATTAGCCAAACCCCTGGTGCTGATGGGCGATAAAGAGCCGAAGCACTTTTAATAGCTGCCTCCAGAGGGTGGACTTTCTGATTAAATGCTCGCTGACCATGGCTGCTATGCGAAGTCCCGGTTAGGCAACTGACTGCCCCGAGAGAGTATATTCGACCGACTGACTTACGCGTGATATCCTGTTTAAGCATTTTGAAGCAAATTACAGCCATCAACACAAGGAGGGGAGAAGAAACCGGCTTTATGTGTCCTCAGGGTGCAGAAACCCACGCTCCTTGCCAGTAAGAGCTCTTATTTGCATACATGAATAATCAATTAAGTAAAAAGAAGCGCTGGGAGCCAAAGATGGAGTCGAGGCTCGGAACCCCTCTGGTGGACGGGAACTTTGGCCTCCTCCAGAACTACAGCTCCCAGGAGACCTTGCCACTGCTCCGCGAAGAGCGCCCCAAAGTCTCGCGGCGGGCGTAGTTTCTTAACGCAGGCCTCAGCCAGTAAATCAGGACGCTGTTACCTTGGCTTTCTTTCCCCGGGTGGACTTCAAAGGGGCGGAGAAGAGAGAGATCGAGAGAGAGAGAGAGAAAAAGAAAAAAAAGAAAAAAAAAAAAAGAGCAACCGGAAGTGACGCTCTTACCTCGCGCCGGCGGTGAGAGGCTTCGAAGATGGCGGCGCGCAAGGGTCGGAAGCGCACATGTGAAAGCGAGCGACCCATGGAGACCGAGTCCCACGATGCAGGGTCCGAGCGCCCGGCCCAGGTCTACCTGCCCGGCCGGGGACCGCCGCTACGCGAAGGAGAGGAGCTGGTCATGGACGAGGAGGCCTACGTGCTGTACCACCGAGCGCAGACTGGTAGGGCTGGGCCCCTGGACTCCTGGGTCCTGAGGAAGGAGGGGACTGGAATCCTTGGTCCTGAGGGGCTCAGATCCTGAGCCTTTCACAAGAGGCGCTCTGAAAGAGAAGACTGGGGTCTGCGAGGGGTGACATCACACTGGAAGGGGCTGAGATCCCACTGTCCCACCCTAACTTTCCAATCCCTCCTTCCCTCTCCAGGCGCCCCCTGTCTCAGCTTTGACATAGTCCGTGATCATCTGGGAGACAATCGGACAGAGCTTCCCCTTACACTTTACCTGTGTGCGGGGACCCAGGCGGAGAGCGCCCAGAGCAACAGGTGAGACCTGAAGTTTTCCCTGGACCAGGAGCCCAAGTCCCCTGCCCCTTACCACCTCAAGACCCAGGAGTCTGAGCCTCCCACTCCTCCTCTCCCAGGCAGGACCCAGGAGGTAGGGCTTCCAGCTTCTGCCTCCCTCAGCCCCAGAAACTGGGTTTCCAGCCTCCTTCCTCCATAAGGATCCTGGCATCCAGCGCCTGTCACATCACACTTTCCCCAGATTAATGATGCTTCGGATGCACAACCTGCATGGGACGAAGGCCCCAGCATCAGAGGACAGCGATGAAGAGGAGGAGGAAGATGACGAGGATGAAGAAGATCGGAAGCCTCAGCTGGAGTTGGCCATGGTGCCCCACTATGGTGGCATCAACCGAGTTCGGGTAAATACAATGCCAGGAGCCTGCTCTACATTCTCTGGAGCATAGTGCCACCCCCTACCCGCCATGTCCATACTGGTGCCTCATGTCCTTCAGCTTTTGGGAAAGCCCTGGGCATGTAACTCTATGTATGGCTTGATAGATGTCTTTGGTATTTTTGTCACTTGGTATTATGGAGATGTTTTTTATGTTCCTTCTTCTTCTGTAAAACAGTACGAGTTACAAAACTTACCTGATATAATGAATGATAAGATGGAATAACATATAGATAATTATATAGCTGAGGTACAATTAGTTCAGGTGCTTAGAAACAGCTCTTGGTCGTAGTACGAGATATGTGTTTTCTGTTATTTCTCAGGAACTGTTGTGAGTGGTGGGGTTACTTCTGTGTTTCAGACTTATAGCTTCTGATGAGGTTGATGTGTGAACTGAACGTGATGACACGTGAACAGCACTTAGAGTAATGCTTGGCCCATGGTTCTTGCTGGGCATTCCATTAAAATAGCACTGTGTTTCAGGTACTGATCTAGGCAGTTTAACAGGGAGCAAAAGGTCTCTGGCTCCACGCAACTTACGTGTTAGTAGGGGAAGGAGCAAGAAGCAGCTTAGTACACGTGTACTGTGTCAGATGCTAAGCATTGTGGAGAAAAATAAAGCCAAGGTAGGGAGTTAGGGTGTTCCTGGATGGGGTTGCTATTTTGAATAGTGTGGTCAGGGAAGTATTCACGGATAAGGTGCCTTCTGAACAGAGATCCACAGGAAGTGAACGAGTGAGCCAAGGATACCTGTGGCAGAAGATTGGCAGGCAAGGGAAGCACATGCAAAGGCCCTGGGGTGAACTTGGCATATCCGAGGAGTTTTGAGGGAAGCTGGGAACACCGGTGCATCTAAAGCAGAATGGGCGAGGGGGAGAGTGATGAGATTTTGGGGGTGGACACAAATGAGACAGGTCGTTCAGGGCCGTGGCCTTTACTTGGGGAGAAATTGGGAGCCATTGGAGAGTTTAGAGGAAAAAACGGGATGTCACGTGTGTTTTAAAGGGATCTCTGTGGCTGCCGTGTTGACCCTGGGCTGCAGGGAGGCAAGGGCAGGATAGCCCTATGGTAATTCTGGGGAAGGACAGCATCAGCAGTAGCATTCGTGACCACACAGGTAGCGAGAAAGGGTTGGAAGCGGTACGTTTTCAGTGGAACCGGCAGCATAGGTGGCGGGCGTGAAAAAGAAGAAATAAGTCGAGAGCACGTCCTCTGCTTTGGGGCCTGAATGGGAACACCGGGGCGAGTAGAAGGTTGCAGTCGACAGTGAGGAGCTTGGCTTTGGTCGTGTAAGTGTGAACGGTCAGTGAGATATGAACCTGGAGTTCGAGAAGAGGGGTCAGGGCTAGGGGCCGCTGGAAACCGAGGCTGAACGGGATCTCCTAGCGAGCGAATGCGCAGAGCCGGAGACCCGAGGACCGAGGCCTGCGACTCGCCAGCGTTTAGAGGGTTACAGAGACCAAGGGTCTGAACACACTCCCTGGGGCCGGTGGGAATTACAGCCTCGACTCCCAGGAGTCTTGAAGGAGTTTTGTTCTCCCACCATCACTGTCTCACCCGCAGAGTGGGGAGTCGTTCCGGGTACCAAGCCAGTCTTGCAGGCCGTGGTCTTTCCCCACAAAGGGTTCTGGGAGTTGTAGTTCCAGCCCCGGGGGTCTGAGGACCTGCGGTTCTGGTGCTCAGGGATGCTAGCAGCTTTGGTCACCACCCTGAGCCTCCTGTCCCTCCCACCTCACTTCCCCATCTTCCTCCCCCCGCAGGTGTCGTGGCTGGGTGAGGAGCCCGTGGCTGGGGTATGGTCAGAGAAGGGCCAGGTGGAGGTGTTTGCACTGCGGCGGCTTCTGCAGGTGGTGGATGATGCCCAGGCCCTGGCGGCCTTCCTCAAGGATGAGCAGGCCCGCGTGAAGCCCATCTTTGCCTTCGCCGGCCACATGGGCGAGGGCTTTGCTCTCGACTGGTCCCCCCGTGTACCTGGTGAGTCTCGGGGTGCATACTTGGTCCCGGGGGCGGAAGAGAGCAGGGCCTGTGGCAGGGGTGGGTGCTGAGACTCCGGGGAGGGGCGTGAACTGTGGCCCCCTGGGACCAGGTGGTTTCCTGACTCCCTTCCCCAGGGCGCCTGCTGACTGGTGACTGTCAGAAGAACATCCACCTCTGGACACCTACTGATGGCGGCTCCTGGCACGTGGACCAGCGGCCATTTGCGGGTCACACACGCTCTGTGGAGGACCTGCAGTGGTCCCCAACTGAGGACACAGTGAGGGCGGGCTGGGTGCCTGGACACAGGGAGGGCTGGGCGCCTGGACTCCCGGGTCCTGGAGGAGGTGGGGGCTGGGGCCAGGTCCTGGCGAGGGGCCTACTACTAGTCCCTGGTCTCCAGGGTGGGGCGAGGGTCCCCAGGGTCAGTCTGACTCCACCTTGTCCAGGTTTTTGCCTCCTGCTCGGCTGATGCCTCCATTCGCATCTGGGACATCCGGGCAGCCCCCAGCAAGGCCTGCATGCTTACCACCGCCACCGCCCATGATGGGGATGTCAACGTCATCAGCTGGAGCCGCCGGGAACCCTTCCTGCTCAGCGGTGGGGACGACGGGGCCCTCAAGATCTGGGACCTGCGGCAGTTCAAGGTACTTTTGCGGCCGGAGTGGCTTCTGCTTCCGGCAGCCACTGGGATTTGGAGTCTTCACCGTCGATGCTTTTGTACATCAGAGCTGGGAAGGCCCTTTGGCTGGGGGCCCAGGCCCTTTGGGGTGTAGATGAGGAAGCAGGCCCCGCAGGAGGAAGTCTTGTGCCTGGTATGGAGTCGTTCACTCTACAGCGGGAGAGGTGACAAGAGACGGAAGAGGCTGGGTGGTGGCAGAGACTACAATTCCCATCTGCCCGTGGGGGAGCCATGGGTTTTATAGAAACAGCTGAGGATCGGAGCCCAGCTCACTCACTGCAGGAGAGGAAACTGAGGCACAGAAAGACTGGAGCAGATGTGACGTCAGGGCCCCGCTCAGAGCCGACTTCGCAGAGCGGAGAGGGGCTGTGGGCAGGAGAGAGCGCCGCTTCCGGCACGCCTCTGCTCAACGCCGTAACTTCCTGTGGCTCCGTGCCTTCCTGGGACCGCCATGTTGTAATCTTTTTTTCCCCTCCAGTGTAATGGGTTCTATAGAATCAGCCCTGGAGAAGCTTCTAGAAATCGATTCCAGCCCCCAAGGCAAGCGCATAGCCAGGTCACGTGGCTGAGTCGATTGACCATTGCAGTGTTGGCCACTTCTCCAGATTAGGGCGACTGCCATCCCAGCCACACTTTGCTTTACGGAAAGTGTCTTCGTCCCCGACATCGGCCGCCTCTGGAGCCTGGGGTCCTGCTTCTCCCTCCGTTTTAAGGCCCTAGAATCTGCAGGGGGAGCACTCAGAGCCCCACACCCCCTTTCTGGGCGGGGCTTCTCATGTGAAACCACAGACCCCAGCAGCCCTGGGGATGTGACACCTTTATTACCAGCTGTACTTTGCCATCTGTGCCAAATGGGGAATCTGGGCTTGTGGGGGCTCAGCCTGGGTCACCCCAGAAGTCAGGCTGAGGTGCTCAGAGCCCCTGACTCCCGTCTTCCCACAGTCCGGCTCCCCAGTGGCCACCTTCAAACAGCACGTGGCCCCCGTGACCTCCGTCGAGTGGCACCCGCGGGACAGCGGGGTCTTCGCAGCCTCTGGTGCAGATAACCAGATCACACAGTGGGACCTGGCCGTGGAGCGGGACCCCGAGGCGGGCGACGCGGAGGCCGAGCCCGGGCTGGCGGACCTCCCGCAGCAGCTGCTGTTCGTGCACCAGGGCGAGACGGACCTCAAGGAGCTGCACTGGCACCCGCAGTGCCCCGGCGTGCTGGTCAGCACCGCGCTGTCCGGCTTCACCGTCTTCCGCACCATCAGCGTCTGAGACGGCCGACCGGGCCGGCGGCGTCCGGTCTGGCCTCGCGCGTGGGGACCGAGGTCTGAGTCGGCTCCCCGAGGGGACTCGTTCAGATCTCGGCAGCTCTGAGCGCCACCGGGCCCTCTCCAGAGGACTTCGCTCGGCCCACTGGCCGCCGTGATGGACTGTCTGACTGACTGCCCTTTGAAGGGACTTGGTTGGGTCCCATGTGCCCCCCACCAGCCAGAGGACTCTGTTGGCTCATTTCCCAGGTGGGCCTGGTGTGGCTCGTGTTACTGTGGCTACTTTGCCACCTGTGGCACTTGGCTTGACCCTTTGATCTCTCTGCCTCAGGACCCAGTTCCGGCCTTCTGTCTCCCCCAGGCAACGCAAGTGCATTACAATGGGGTGGGTTCCCCCAGCAGAATTGGACTTGGCCTCTGGTCTTCCTGCCAGCTGGGCCTAGCCAGGACTTCCCAGCAGGGAGCTGCATGGGCCTGCTCCCCTTCCCCCCATGCTGAAAGCAGGCGCTGGGGTTGGGGGAGGAAAGTCGGGGGCTCCTGAGAGGCACTAAAGACCGGGACAGGCCTTGATGTGTGTGCGACTCCGACTCCTCCTTCTGGTCACTTCCCTATGAGGACACGGGAAGGGCAGGAACCTGGTACCTCCTCCACGCAGCCCAACCCTCAGCCTGGTCGGGTGCTACCCTGTGTGCCTTCCCTAAATTTTAGTCCATTGGGAACTCGCTCCGGGTCTATAGAGGGCATCTCACCTGTGGGAGGCCCCCCTTTTAAAGGCTTCATCTCAGAGGGAACCAGGGAGTCCCCATTTCTCTGTCCTATCACTGTCCCTTTTATTATAATCTCGCCATTTCTTTGTCATCTGTCCCCATCTTTCTCTGTCTCATTCGGGTCCCTATCTTCCCGTGCCTCCTGGCCCCCACGCCGTCTTCCTGCCCCCTCCTCCCGTGTCCACACTCTGCCATAGTCTCCTCTCCAGCCTGCTTGGGCTGTGGCCCAGCTGCTTGCCTGGCCTGGCTGTCCTCCCTGGCTCCCCCTCTGCGGCTCTGAGCTGGCCCCACCCCCTACCCCCCTTCCGCCCAGGCTTCTGATCCGCCTATGGACACAGAGGTCGGGTGCCCGGCATAAGGCCCCTGGGGCCGAGGAGAGACCGCAGCCCCTCAGCACCCAGAGAGGAGCCCCCAGCAGAGGGCATGGGGGTGGGCTGCCCCCCCAGGTATGTGCCTGCATGCAGTCCCTGGGCAGGGGGCGTGGGCCTGAGAGCCATCCCACCTCCCCCCACCCTGTCCCTCCACCCTCCATCCTCCCTGCCTGGGCGTCTCTGCGCCCACACCCCCACCCCGTCCTCACTGTTCCCCCTCGGGGCGGTCCCATCTTACCCTCGGTGACAGAGTCCGGCCCCAGAATGACCTCTCCCCACAGGTTCGGTACCTCCAACTTTGACCCATCTCCATTTTCTGCCTTTTTCCATTGCCCCCCCGCCCCCGTCCGCTGGCCTCTGTCTTCACGACTGCATCTCCCCTCTCCATTCCCGACACGATCTCCCCTTTCGTCTCCCAGTTGCTCGTCTGCCTGTTTCTTCCCCTCTTCCCCTGGGCCTCTGTCCCCCGTCTTTTGGTGTCTGCACCCCTGTCTCTGCCCCCTTCTCTCTGCTCCGTCCACCCACCATCTCTGTCCTTTCTGCTTTCTCGGGCTCCCTCTCAGCACCCCCCTCTCTCCCCCACCTCAGCCCTTGTCTGTCTGTCCACAGTCTCTGCCCAGACCCTATTGGGAGGTGGGGGGCAGGGGGAACACCCGGGGTCTCAGGGGAAGAATGTGGAAGTGTGTTTCTTTGGGGGCGGGGAGGTCAGGCCCGGGGACAGGGCTGCTCGGCCCCAGATTAGACAGTGACTTTGACACCAAGTTAACGCACCTTAAGCCCCGTGTCTCCTTTATATGGAAACATTAAGCTGCTCGCAGGTCAGTGGGAGGGTGGGGTGGGGGACTCCAGGCTCTCGAGCCTTCCTTCCCCTCCCCCTGCCTTTGCAGGGAAGTGGGGCTCTGAGCCCAAGTTGCATCCACCCCTGAGAGTGGGGCCATGCTGGATGCAGAGAAGGCCCCTCGGAGGCGGACACCCCCATCTGCTCTGTGGAGTGGAGAAGGTCACGGCCACCTCGCAGGGCTGAGAATGGGTGCAAGGACTTAGGAGGCATTCC